TGTTTGTTTTAGGAAAAGTAAAACCTATTCTTATGTAATTTTCTCTAGCACTTGGAAGTCCCCCCAAATGACAACACCTCTCATACGTTTTTCAACATATGCAAATTTTACTACACACTTATTTGGACCTGGAAACTTTAAACACAAAAGATTTGATGTTGCTCATACCTTGACCAAGCAGAAAATCCTCAGGGAAATGTGAACTTGTTCATACCCATAATAATAGCTATTTTAATGAAACAATGCATTGTTGACCCAACATCTGACTCATCTTTTGCTACATTTTCTATGTTACAGGAAGGTTTGTAACTGATAAATGTCTTTATATAGCATGCATATTTTGTAGAAAAATAATTGCATATTCTCTGTATATAATCTTAACCACAGGCACACTGTATGTACTCAAACTTCAAAAATGAGATGTGAATATGGTTAAAATTTTGCCCTAAAGGCATAAATCATAATGTTAAATTATCAAGGATAATTATTTAACAACAACAAAACCATCTCTCTTTACCTATCTTTACCTACTTCATCTCAATCTCATATTATTTGAAAGAAAGAAAACTCCATTGCATATTCTAGCAAAGCATATTGGTAGGGGAAGGTTTAACAGAGCCAGAGAGAATGTGCAAGGAGTGAGAAAGTGAATTGATGGATGGATGGTTAAATGAATATAAATGAACTGACACCTTTACAGGAAAATAACATTTCTTTTCTTTTTTTATTCTATAGATCAGTGGGTTTTGTATCTGTAATTCTTTCATATCAGCAAAGAGGAAATAAACTCTCATGTAAATCATTTTCCCCCCATCTGGAGCATATTAAAACCATGCCTTTTTTTTTCTTTTAAGCAGAGTCTTTTTTCCCTATTTGCTTATCAGTTCATCCACCATTACATTTTAAATGAAATTGCAAGACCCTTGTCCCTCCCCCAAATTTCAGCCTGATGGAGGAAAGTGGGAAGCAGACTTTTCTTGCTTTAGAATAGTGACCTAGATTCAATTACAGATAGACCCAGAAGGGAGAAGTGACACCTCACAATTTTCTTAGAGGTCTTCGGAAAAATTAGAAATCTCAAAACAATACTTAATGGAAAAGAATCTGTTTATTTGCCCATTTCCCATCTTACTTCTCTGCCTTAATTTCATTGCTTTGGTCCATTTAATTGTTACTGGTATAACATCACAATAGGTTTCCCCCGGGATATTTCCGAATCATAAAAACGGGCATTTCAAGGAAATTTCTGAGTTTGGCTTTTGAGGGTAGGTGTCCATACACAGAGTGTGTGTAATTCTGCAAACTTAGACAAGATAAAAAATAATCGCTTAAAAGGCACATTTTCCCTTATGTCCTTTAAAAAAGAGGAAAAAAAATTTTTATTACTAAAGTACATCTATTATAATTGCAGGCGAAGCATTGAACGGGGAAAGAAGGGGGCCTATGTGTTTTATTGTTTTCCCAATTACTGTAGAAAAATGTGGTCAAAAGAAATAGAAAGAGGGAGGAATCCTGTGATTCTTCTTATTGACTTTTATCACTAAATTAAGCATATAAATGACCTGAACGGGTGGCTTGGTATATTAAATTAAAAAAAAAAAAAGAACAATGATTCTCTCTTCTTTTTCCCTCCCTCTCTGATCTCAGCCTGAAAGGAGTCTCGCAGAGATAAGAAAGATGGGATTCGGGCAGCGCGCTCCTCGGGTGGGTCCCGCTTACCCCGGCGCGGGGAGGCAGTTGCCTTCCAAGCAGGATTTCCGTTCAGGGTTCACAATAAGCAGTCGCAAGCGGAGGCCACGTTCCCCGCCACTTCCACCGCCCCTCGAACAAAGAAGCAAAGTCGCTTGTCCCAAGACGTACGCGCCTGTGAGGCTTTGAGGTGCTTGCCGGGGAGGCAGTGCTTGCTGTGGGCAGGTGAACACCTCGGTCCTCGTGGCGGGTTTGGAGCTGCCCCGCGCAGGAAGAGGGCAGAGATGGGCTCGCGTCTATGCGGGTATCCAAAATGAAAAAGAGCTGCAAACGGCACAGAAGTGCGGGGGCAAGGTGCAGGAAAACAGAGCAAGGGAGCCACCTTGGTTCTCAAACACAGCCTAGGAATGGGCTTTCCCCGAGCGATTATTTTAGACCCTGGGAAAAAGGTCGCCACTGGGCGCTGGGCGCTGGCCGGACATTGGAGATGTGGGTGCGCGCCTGGCCCTGCTAGGAGGGTCCCCTGAGCCGCGCGGGGGAGCGCGGGAGACGCCTGGCCCCGGGGGGAGCTGGCGGAGGATTGTTTCATTTCAAAGTGAAAATCTGCAGGCTTTGGGAAACGATATTCAAAAAAGTATATAATCTCCATATGCCGCTCAATGGAGGATCCTCATAATTTACAGCGGCAGATAAGGCTAGAGGGTGTAATAAAAAATCTGAAGCCCTCCCCTCCCCCTCGCTTCCTCCCCGGAATTGCACCTTGGGCAGCGGAGCAGAATCCGGAATGTGAACTTCTCCCGACATATGTTTCCCGCAGATAAGTAAACAATCTGGACGTGAAATGGAAATGGTAATTAATGCAGTAATGCTGTTACACCTCGAGTGTGCAAATCCCATTGACTCGCCGCGCCACGGGGGGTGCCGGGCGTACAGGGACCGGTGGCGTTCGCCCAGGCCGCCCGCTCCCTCCCTCATCTCTTCTTCCTCCCTAGGTCCCCGGGCGGGGCGTCCCGAGATCCCGCAGGGACTAGTTCTGGCTGCGGGAAGTCGGAGCTGCTCAGAGGCGCTAGGGACTCCCGGCCCTCCGCCCGCTAGGCTCGTGCACCGGCTCGCCCAGGCAGCCGCGCCCCTCACATCTCCCCAGCTCTCACCGCCGCGCCAGCGCCAGCGCCAGCAGGGCCTCGGGGCTCAGAGGTGCAGCCCCGCCTGGAAGCCCCCGGGAGTGCCTGAGCTCTCCAGCAGGGAGCGGCAGGCAGTGCAAAGGCCTGAAGGCAGGAGGAACCCCGGCGTCCTAGCGCGACGGGTCACCAGGAGTGCGGCCGTCCCGTCTTTGGTCTACTCACTGCACCCAGCCTCACCCGGTCGGCTGGCAGAGTTTTTCTGAAGTTTCTTCCCATCCTTTCCCTGAGTGCGCTGATTGCGTATGAATTGCTTCTCTTACGAACCTAAGTGGGAAAGTTTGGAAATGACCACTGGCACCCTAGTAGCGCAATTCTTCTACTTTGCAGCGAAGAGGAAACTTGAGGACTCTTTACGGCCTCTGTTCAGACTGCGCTCCCGCTCCTTTCCCCTACCATGATTGTGGGCATTTTAGGGGTCAGGAAGGATGCCCGGCGCAGGGATTCTAGCGAAGAGAAAGGAGAATCGCAAAGGCAGACAAGGGACGTCCCGGGCGCGCGGACCTTCCCGCTTCCTGAACGCACAACTTCCTCGCTCAGGCCCCAGAGGCTGTGCTGGACCCAGGACCAGGGGCTGGGCTAGGAAGTGGGTAGCGAGGCCCCTTCTTCCCTGCCTTCAGGCCCCTTCCTGAAAGTGCGGGAGCAGGTAACTCCCACGCTGCGGGATCTGGGCGAGCACAGAGCCGGGGTCAGGCGGGGGCGACCGCGGGTGTCCGGTTCTGTGTGGATGCCCCGGGATTTCTAGCGCCCCCACCCGCCTCCGACTCCATTATTTTCTTAATTACTCTGCCGCGGCCCAGCGCCAACGCTTCTGGTTCCAGGCCAGTGCCCATCCCCGCTGCGCCAGAAAAGAAACCAGCCCAAGTAGCGCTCCCATTGCTGGGTCCCCGAGGGCCTCGCAGGCCAGGGCAGGGCCAGAGGCCGGGAGAGCACGCTCCTCGGAGGAGGCGGGAAGCGTTGGCCCGAGCATCTCCTGCACCCAGATCTAACCCTTCTGCCTCTGTCTCTCTTCCTCTCTCACACTCACACATGCACAATCCGCCCAGCAAATGAAGAGATGAGAGTTCTTAACGCGAATCTTGTGAATTACTTGATATTCAAATTCAAATGAGTTGAAATTCATTGTCCATTTGAACAATGGCGACCAGGCCTGAGCTGGGGAGGAGCTGACGGAAAGCAGAGTTCTCAGGGCAGTCCTGGCACCACTGCTAGCCAAATTTTCGGGGCCCTGGCAGTCTCAGGTCTCTCCAGACAGGCTGCCTCGCTATGAGATGCCTCGCTAGGAGGTGCGATGTAACGAAAGTCCCTTGGCCGTACCCTGACTGAAATATCACTCTGCTTTGGATCCTGGAGATTCCTGGAGGTTATCTAGCTCCAGCTTTAAAACGCAAATGTTCAGGGGGTTTCAGATGTCAGTCACTCACACCTCAGTGTGATTTACTCAAAGTAGCTGGCCTTCTCTATCTTTAAAGTTAATGCAAAGGAGATTGGCATTAAAAAGGAAAACTCGGAACCTGGAAGGGAATCAAAGATTTCTGGAGTCAGACCCAAAGCCTGGGAAGTGCATAAAGGACTGCGGAAGCTCTCCAAGGGGGGCCAGAAGCGGAAGGGGGCCATTGATACCGCATCTCTCAGAAGGTGTGGCCAATGTACCCCTGAACCAGGTAGCCGCCAAGATTTAAGAAAGAAAACCTAGCTAAAAACCCCAACAACTCTGCTTCTGTCACGCCAGCGCCGCCGGCTGACGTCGTGAGCAGCTAGCTGCTGTTCAGGTCTCCGCTGTCCTAGGAAATACCCAGCAAATAAGCGGCTGGGGCTAGAGCAGCATGTAAATTTGGGTGAAATTTGTTTGTCCCCTGGAAGCAATGGCCCCCGCAGGCGGGAGGCCTGGGACCGCCCTGGCAACCCTGCTTAAAGGAAGCCCAGGCTGCGTGCGGGGGAGTCTGGGGCTCCAGGCTGGGGACGCGCCTAGCAGACGGGTCGTCAGAGTCTCCTCCTGCGGGTCCCCGGGCGCCCGCGCGCCGCGGGAGTTCGGTTCTCCCGACGCCAAGAGCCGGTCGCGAGCAGCTCTTGGCTGCTCTTCGCTGCGCGTGGCGCGCTCGGGAGAAGCGGCTCTTCTCGACTCCGGGCGGGCGGGGCGCTCCTCTCCCTACAGGTTTGCTTTAATGATTTTCTTGAAAGAAAGAGACAGTTGTGAGCAAACAGGTTTGACAGGGACTGCTTCCCCCCACACTCCCCAGGGGATTTCTTTTTGTCTGCGCCTGACTTCAAAGTCAGTAATCGGCCCCTGTCAGCGGCGTGACGAGGAGGATTTCGGCTGTTTGTCAGGGCGAGTCCCGGCCGCGCACCTCGGCGGACGCTCTGCGGCCCGCGGGGCAGGGGAGGCAAAGCCGAGGCGGGCGCCTGCGGGGCCGAGGCGGGGACCAGGTCTACGGAGGGCCGGTGACCGGGGAAAGCCTGTCTGCGAAGTAAGGAAACGAGGTGTGGTGGGCAGAAGCAGCCGGAGCCAGGTCTTCGGCTTTGGGTCCCGGGACCCGAATTGGGCCCCCAGCTCCCTGCGGGCTGGAAAGAGGTCTCAGTCACCTGGCCGCAGGCTCCCTGGCGCTTCTCCGTTACAAAGCACCCTAGTTTCCTGGAGCTCCCCACGGGGTCCCCACGACCGGGCGCAATCTGGAACCCTGGTTGCGGGTTTCCAGCTTCTGCCGCCGCCGGGGGCCTTCGCCACTCGGACCCGCTTCGTTCCTCTTCCCAGCCCAACCCCGCTTCGGAGTTGGCTGGGAGCCCTAGTGGGGCCATGCACGCGGGCTTCCCTCTCCGGCCAGGGTGCTGTGTGCACCCCGGGGCGCTCCTGCGCTGGGCTCTGCGGGGAGACACCCAGACCCCTGTAAGCTTCATCTTAGGAGACGTTAAGGGACTCTGAGCTATGAGGTAGATCACAGCGGCTGACAGGACTGTCAGTTGGGGTTAGATCAGACTGCCAAACCGCAGTGCCGCGGTCCCAGGCCTCTTGGGCTTCCTAGGGGGCTGGAGGAGGGGCCTTCACTAAGCGCCCACGGCCGCCAGACCTGACGGCCACCAGAGGCAAGTCACTTCCTAATTGTCTCGATTTGTAAGAGGGTTTTGTGATGCTAAGTAAGCGTGGCGCAGCCCGCCGGGCCTCCCCCCACACCTCCCCCAGCCCGCCTTTGTTTACCTACGCCTGATCGCTCATTTATTTATCTATCTGTTATTTATAGGCGTCCCCTCCTATTCAGCGTCCGTGTATGTTAATTGTGTTATACCATTTAATTCTAACATCAGTCTCAAAAGAGCCCTTAATGAGAAAAGCATATACAACACGAATCACTTTGCTATTCAGCTCAGCCAGATGGACAACTGCTAACTTTTTTTTTTTTAATAATGAAAACCCCCCTTTGACAAAGGGGCTCGGATGAATGGGCTCCAAATAGCACCTCAAACACTTCTAATTGTTTTGAGGACAATATGCTAATCCGCGGGTTTCGGCTTTGGTGTCTGTTGACAACGTTTCCGTGCACCTCGAGCCACCGACTCCTTTGGAAACGGCACAGGCAAGCGCAGAAATCCCTCAACAGCAGCGGAAAGCCGACAAGCCCCTAGGCTGCCCCACCTCCCCACCCCCAATATCAAAGCCAGTGGGAAAAGCACGCGACTTACGGAAAAACACGCGTGAGGGCGGCTTTGGGGGCGAGACCCGGAGACGGGGTGGAGTGGGGAGCACCCTTCAATTTTGAGAACAATTCCGAAGAGTTGTGTTGGCTGGCATCAGAGGGTCCTTTCTCCTCACGAAAACCAGAGTATTCTTTAAGCAAATATTCACCCAGAGGGGAAAGAAAAGGGTTCTTTTCCTTGTTTGTTAAACACCATGGGCTGAGAATCATTTAATTTTTATGATTTTTTTTTCAACTCCTGGCCTAAGCCATGACAATGTCGCCTTCCTTTTCCCTTCGCTTTCGCAGCGTCTTAGTAAAAACTCTTCTACAGTCTACGGTGGGGGACCTAGGACACGTTTTTTCTGCATTTCTTACAGTTTTATTTTTTAACTTAGGAAGCAGTATTGAGCCCCAAATCCCCAGAGAGGCGGCGGCAGTGTTTCCAAACACCTAAAAAACCAAAAAAAAAAAAAAAAAAAAGATTCCACCCGTGTTCTGCCATGCTTTGAACTTAAACACCCATTGTAGGACGCAGTGCTCCATGCGCAACTGGTTCCCAGGAGATTCCACGCTTCTCCCCATTCCTCTGGAGTTTGGTTATAAAAAAGTATATGCACCCAGATCTCAGAGGTCTGAGGCAGCCTTTGTCTTAGTTCACTTGCTCCTTAAAGTGGTCTCACCCCTTTGTGAAGAAGGTGCAAAAAGAGTTATGTCCCGGGGACAGATATCTTTGTCTAGCCTCTAAAGGCAAAAAGCAGGTCTGCAGGTGGGATCCCGACAGACTCCAGCCCCTCTGCACCCCACCCGCAGACCACCAGCATTCATGGGCCGCTTGATGTGGTCTGAAGGTTTGGACATGGTCCCGCTGGGCCAAAGCAGGGCAGCCGCTAGCCCTCACTACTAGAGCTGCTCTACGCACTCTCATCCTCCCAGCAACCCAAATTCCCAGCCTCCAGGACCTGGCCTCCTGACTTCGGATTTTATGCACATCAAAGGTTACTTTTTTTGCAATGACAGATTGTCTTTATTCAAAATGTCTTTGTTCAACAAATGAACAGAGTAAGGAGGTAAAATCCTTCTAAGTACATTTCCAAGACATCGTCAAAACATTTATGACCATTTAGGATGTTTTTATTCTTTTAATTTTTTGTTTACTTTCTACTTCCTGACTTCATAATCCGACATTCTGTCTAAAAGTAAACTTAGGTCTCTAGGAGCACTGCTTTACACAAAGTAAATAACCATGTGGGTCCTTTTTGTTTTCCTTTTAAAGAAGCAAACACTATCATAGTATAATTTTAAATAGAAATGTTTCCCTTTCTGTAGTTTAAAACTTTGAAACCTTTCCCCCCACACACATGAAGAGCAAATGGAGCCTAGTTGTGTCTGATGGCAAAACACAGAGACACAGCTCTTTTTTTTCCAGGGGTCAAAAGAAAATATATATGCATATTCTAGATATAATATCAGGATCTGGGAGTTCAGAGTCCAAAGCCTATCCAAGGAGAGTGAAGGGGACATAAATAAAGCAAAACTGCCTACTTTTTTGTCCAAAGGGGGTACAGTTGGAGATTTGTTTTGGGAGAGTCGGTTAGGGGCAGCTGTGTAGCTGTCATAACCTTTCCAAGTTTCTGGCACCTGTCTGCGCCTTGGGTCCGGGAGAACGCCCCTCCCTTCCCCCCCGGGAAGAGAGAGGAAAAGAAGTCTGGGGTGGTGTAAGGGACAGCAGCAGGGCTGACCCGGAGGCGTCTGCATGCCAGGGCTAGGCGCAGAGGACAGGGTGCACACCCCACTTCCAGGCCACCCTTCAAGTCCGGGCCAGGCTGGGGGTTACATGGCGGTGGCGTGGGCTGACGAATAAGGGTCTATGCCAGTCTTGGTCATGCCTGGGAAGAGGATGTAGGCGACGGGGGGCTGCAGGGTGGAGGCAGACCAGGCGGTACAGTTACAGGGCACCACGTAGCCCGGGTTGGTGGGGGACGGGTGCGTGTGCGTGTGCTGGCTGGGGCAGCTGAGGCTGCCGAAGGCGCCGTTCTGGTAGCCCAGGGTGGACGCGTAGGGCAGCGCGCCGGTGGCCAAGGTGTGGGGCACTTCACCCATCTTCTGGATGGCGCTTGAGCTAAACTGCGCGGGGTCCAGCAGGGAGTAGGGCGCCGAGGCCGGCGGCAAGAAGGCCCGGGCTTTCTCGGGCGCGCTCAGGAGGCCGTCGGAGGCCCCCACGGGCAGGCCGGCCGCCTTGAGCGGGTCCGTGTCGCCCAGGTAGGGCAGGGGGAAGACATACCTGTCCTTCTTGAGCAGGTTCTTGGGCTTGCGCCGTGGTCGGTACTTGTAGTCAGGGTGCTCCTTCATGTGCTGGGCGCGTAGCCGCTTGGCTTCGTCGATGTATGGCCGCTTCTCTGCCTCGGACAGAAGCTTCCATTCTGCGCCTAGGCGTTTGCTGATCTCTGAGTTGTGCATCTTGGGATTTTCCTGGGCCATCTTGCGCCGCTGGCCCCGGGACCATACCATGAAGGCGTTCATGGGCCGCTTGATGTGGTCTGAAGGTTTGGACATGGTCCCGGCGGCTAGGTGGGCGGGGGTGGGGAGTGCAGGGGTTCTGCAGGCGAACCTGGGCGCGGTTGGCCGTCTGTCTGTCCTGAGCTGGGGCTCTGCGCTCCCCTCGTCTCGGAGCCGCTGAGGGGAAGCCAGAGAGAAGAGCTGACCCCGCAAAGTTCAGCTGATCATGCCAGTCCCAGCACCCAGGCAGCCCCTGGGGGGCTAGAAAGGGCAGGAAGGGCGGGGGAGGAGATCGGCGGGGGGCTTTGAGCAACAGAGGCAGGGGCCCAAGTATCGTCGTCTCCGGGATTAAGTAGCCAGGTAATTTTTCTGGCGAGGAAAAGAAGCTCCTCCTTTCCCCCTCTCCACCTTCGCCTTCACTCTTTCCCTTCTCTTCTCTTGCGTCTCCGGCTGTGGCTCCCCCCTCCAGTGGCTTTCCCGGGGCTGCCTTGCCTAGCTGCACCTGGCTGAGAATGCGGGGAGGCTGGTGAACCAGAGCCAAAAGCGGCGAAGTTCAAAGGCGAGGTGGGCCGGGACGGCACGCACTCTGACATAAGCGCGGGGCGGCGACTCCCCAACCTGGGCGCCAATCAGCAGCAGAGGAGGCGAGGGGGCGCACCTGCCAACGCGCCGGTGGAGGAAACAGGGAGAGCGGCTGGCGGGGGCGGGGAGAGGTGTGAGGGACAGAGAAGGCAGAGAGAGGGAGAGAACAGAGCTGCTAGCTCTGGACTGGGGACTTGGATTCCACATTGTCTCTGTCACTATCAACAAATAAAACTCTTCGCGCCTCCTGTTTCCTTTCCCGGTGGTGAAAGAGAGAATTAGGGCTTCGAATACAAAGGCCCAGGGAAGGGGCAGCAAAGGGAACCAGACGAGAGCTCCTGCTGATAAACAGGACAGCCTTGCCACGAAATACAAGGACAGCACTCTCCCCCTTGTCAAAGATCCTTGGAAGAGAAAAAGAATATATCGAACTCAGGGTAAAAAGCCAAATAAACTTTCTGCGCCACACCAGACCCTAGGTGGTCCTTTGGTGGGTGATCCCGGGACGCCCCTGCTGCAGCCTCCACCCCTGCCGCAGGACGCGGCGCCCGAGGGTCGCTCTGGGCTCCCTAGCGGCTGAGCAGTGCGCCCGAAGGCCTCACGTCCAGCAACGCAGAGATTTCAAACCCTGGTTGGTGAGCCCTAAAGAGCACCAGGACCTGCTTTGCACTTTTGGGGCGGGGTGGGGGTGGGATGGCGGTGGGATTTCCATCACGGTTCCTATTTATGTTGTTGTTATTTAATATTTTTAAACCTCCAACTTTTACTCCACAAGGGTCCAAACTGTAAGGACAGCCTGGAGGCCAGGCGTGGCAGCCTTCCTAGCGCCCCTTCTGCTACCGCCCTAGAGCGAAGACTCAGGCTGCAGCCGCAACCAGGGTCGGTTTGTCCCTGGGCGCCTCTTCCCACCCCGCGAGGCTGTGAGACTCCGTTTCTTGCATCACATTGAGCATTCTTCGGGTAAAGAGGACGAAATAACCCGCAGAGTCAACCGGCGCGCCTGTTTCCTTTGAATAATTGCCTGCCCGGTGTGAAATGCCCTTTGGGGAAATATTTATTAAATGGAAACCATTGTCCCTGGCCGGGCGGGACCTGCGTGTGTTCCAGGCTTATTGGCTTTTGCACCAGCCCCTCTCGGGAGGACTGACCAGAAATGTGCACCGCTCGGTGGGCTTGGAGGGGACTGGAATAGGGGAAAGTGGCAGAGAGCCAGGAGGCAGGAAGGCAGGGTCTTTATCTACATGTATTGTATCAAGTTTGAGGAGAAGCTTTTGCTTCTCCTTCCTACGATTAGAAAGACACGTGGAATTTCTCATCCTTAGCGCTCTCTTCAGAGAGATGAACACTGTTTCCCATTTTACAGATTAGGAAACTGAGGTTGAGAAAGGCAAGGTAATTTGCCAAAAGTCACTCTGGGAGGAAAGTGGTGATGCCTCGTGTACAGGATTTGAAATATTTTTCCTACGCCACGCGGCATTATGTCTGAGGACTTGATGGTGCTGCAGACAAACGTGGAACACTTGACAAAACTGTTGGAGCCATCGAACCCTGCCATGCAGATAAACGGCACTGGAAGATCGATTCTGCTCTTGATTTGCTGAGCCAGGGCGCCACCTCCTCGCAGGTTGGCGAGCAGATGCACAACCTTTACATTCCTTCTCAGCCTCAGTCCGGCCTCCCCCCACAGGAGCCTTGGCCTGGCCCCGTTACTTCGTTATCTCCGCAGGGAGTTTCCCTTAGCTTGGGGGCGCAGGAAGTAGGAGCACTTTTCAGCCCAGTAGGGGGAGGGTTTCCAAGTGTCGCAGGTAATCGCTACGCAGGTCTGACCAGCGGTGCACTACACTCAGATCCTGCCAGGGATAGGGGTCCAGCGGCCACCCGATTCTAATTTTACCCAGCGATCCCGACGGCTTTGGGAAGGAATGAGAGAAATGCTGATATCCTCAGAGAGGTCCAACGTCCTGTGGGGACCCGCCAATCTCTCATTCCGGAACTTTCAGGGAACACCAAATCTACAATCCAGAGGTTTGGGTTAATACAAACCAACTTCTTGGAAACTGCTGGAGGAGGGGATCTGGCACAGGGTCCTATACCCTTTCTCTCCTCTCAGCCTCCAGGCCAAGCCATTCCAGTTGCCCTAAGGCAGTTCAGGGCAAGAGAGTACCTTTCTTCCACTCCTCATATTTCCTCCTCCTACAGCCCCTCGCTCCTTTCCAAGCCACTAGCGTTCATTCCTAGCACGCAATTCAAAAGCTATTCGCAATCCAGAGCGGATTAATACGAAGGGCTTCCGACGAAGAGAAGGGTGTGGCAGTTTGTGGTCAAGTAGCCATTTGACCTCCAAGGGTTCCGGAGTCCTAGGTTGCCTGGTCAGGATGCTCGGACCCAGGAGGGCGCCCAGCATCTATGTTGAGTCTTGCTCTTAAAATGTGAACTTGGAGCGGGTAGGGAATACAGGATTGAGGGACGCATCTGCCAGGCCTCGCGTTCGCTTGTCTCCTAGACGAAGCGCGCAGCCGCGCACTCCTCTTATGTAGTACCAGGTGGCCACACGTTTATTCAGGACTCCTTAGAGCTGGGCTGGCCGCAGTAGTACCCATGATCTTGAGATCTGGTCCAGTGTGGTCTCCAGCCGGTGCCCTTAGTGTGTTGCGCCGCGTTGTCCCTCTTCACTGTGACTTCCTGACAGGCCTAGACCACTGGGCAGCATGTCTCGGAGAGGTGGACCCTGGGGAGAATTAGCAACTTGGGTCCCCGCTGAAACAGGCATTAGGACAGAGGTTGCCTGACCGCTCCTCCTGCTTTGTCCTCAGCCTAAAGTTTGAGCCTCAGGCTACCAGTCCACGCTCCATGGATGGAGACGTCCCTTGGATGAGGTCTTTCCAGCTTCTACATTTGCCTGGAGAAACCATGCACACACTCGGCACGCGGTTATTCAAGGCTTGCTACGTGCTGGCCTCAGCCAGGTGTTCAAACCCCGGATCTAACCCCAGGGATTCTGTCAGCAAACCGTCGCTGTTCCCACAGAAGTGAAGGAAAAAGCCTCAGAAATCATGACCCTATCTGCTTCTCTTCCGGCCTGCCTTCCGCTTCCCTCCACCGCGCACAGAGTCCGGGCTGCACCTTCCTCTTTTCCGGGTCTGGGTCTTTGCAGGGAGCATTTCCCCCTCTTCTTTCCTCCAACTCTTTTATGTTGGCCAGGTACCAGTCCAAGACTATCATCACCTCTGGGGAGGCTTTTTGTTTCCTGGGCTGGGATCAGGTCCCTTCTACGCTTTCACTCTTACACCTCCATTTCAAGCCCCTTTCCCCAGCCTGGCGTGGAGCCCTTTCGCAGTCTGTGCAGCCCACCAGAGCTCGAGCTCCTCTGGGACCATGGCTGCGTATTATCTTTGGGTGCCAAATGTCCACACAACTCTAAGAGCAGAGAAGAATAAAAAAGAAGAAAGTTTCCTTCTGCCCAGGCCCAGGTAAACTTTCCAGACAGGCTTTTCCCCAACTCACAGCTGCTGGAATCTGGGACTGGGAGGCTTGTACCACCTGCCTAGCCTCCATCCTCTGCCCTGCCCTCCGGCCACCGTCCCCTTCTCTCTGGTGGGTAAAGGTCACTGCTTCTGGAGCCTCTAGGACTGGGGAATGGCTGAGAGCAGAGAGGACCCCGCAAAGAAGTGACATGGAGAACGCGATTGGGGATGGAAAGAAAGAGGGGAGCAGGCCTTGCACCCTACATCCCTCCCTACCTGGCTTTCAAAAGAGGCCAGGAAGTCACCTGCTGTGCGGAGGGGCAGGGATGCTGGGGACCCACTGGGCACCAGTCCTGCTCGCTCACCGGGGACCGCAGGGATTCCAGTGAGCGAAGTCGCAGGTGCCTGTTACTGGGAGCCCGCGCGCAGCTCAGGCTCCAGCTCACTGCCGCGAGCGCCAGCGCACTCAGGTGCTTAGCGGCAAGAGCTTTAATCAGGACCACCCCTGAGCGCCAGCAACCCAGGAGCCACTGGGGTGATAAATTGATCTTGGGAAATAATGTGCTTTAGCTAAATCATGAACTTTTAATTTTTCTTATTACTAAAAAATTTTAATATGTGGTAACCCTGATCGCCCTCCCCGTTTTCTATTTTAAAATTCAGAGACGTCATGTATCCTGTCTCTAGAGAGTGCTCAGAAGAATCCAGAGCTCTTGTCTTATTAATGCATTTGCTGGTAATTGCTCTGGGTCTTCTCTCCAGAACCCAGCCTGTGTAAAATTCACGTGTTCCTCGCAGCCAAGAAGGTACAGGAGGGCACGGCTTATGCCAAGAGACAAAGAGGAACCGAACAAAACCCGGTCCCAGGACAGACGCCTGTAGCGCCTGCGACAGAACGCGTTTGCCCTCGCGGAACTGTTTAGCCGGCTGGATGGGCTGAAGGACACGTCTTTCTCAACACCCCAAGAACGCCCAGGTAAGACTTCTTGGTGCTTCAAACTACCTTAACTTGACTAGTTTAATGTGAGTCTATTTATAGTAGAGATCACGTGACTCACCCACAGGAGTGCAAGTTTAATAGAGGATTGCACTACATAACACTCATCTTTCAGAAAACGAAGGACGTGGGAGCAGGAATACAGCTGTGAAATCTTATTCATTCATTAATTCAACAGTTATTTATCAAGCACCTACTATGTGCCAGGCATTGTGCTAGATACCAAGACACAGGAAAACAAGATCTACAATGGTCCTTCTCTTGTTTAGTGTCTGTCCTCCCATTGGGCTGTAATAAGGATGATTAATAATGGGAACAGACAATAAACAAATTCCTGGCTCTGCCAGCAGATAGTTGTGTCACTTCAAGCAAGGTACTTAACCTGTCTGTGTCCTGGCTTCTTAACCTATAATACAGGTATAATGAATTATTATCAAGACTAAATGATTTAATATGAGAAATGTTCTTAGAACAGTGCTAGGAATATAGAAACTGCTCAATAATTTGTCAGATTATATTACTTTATCATTAAACATAAGGAATTATATATTCCAATAGTGATAAGTGCTAAGATGTGAATTAGGGCAATGAGATGGGATGAGGGGACGAGGGTGTCCTAATTTACATTGGTGGTCAGAGACTTGAACACAGGAAGGAGCCAGCCTTATGAAGGAAGGAGGATCAGAGTAGGGGATCATTCCAGACAGGAGGAGCAGGAAATTCTACTGCCTGAAGAAGACCAGCTGAGGGCACCCGATGGCTTTAAAGAGCCATCATAGCTGAAGCCTGGCCATGATCTTGAGGAAAGTATAAGGAAAAGGCTGGGTGAAGTTGGCAGGGTCCAGATTATCCAGGGCCTTGTAGACCCCATAATGAGTTTGGGTTTTATTCTGAATGTACTGGGAAGTCATTGGAATGAGATACACCAGAATTATTTAACAATATCCCAGCAATCACACACAAGGAAATATTGGTTATCAGACACTCTACTTATAGAGGAATCTTACCTCTAAACATGGGCCAGAAACTTTTAAAATTGATTTTTTTATTGGCATTGGGGTCGGCTTTTTGACCATCCCCTAAAGATCAAGGACACCCCTGCTAAATGCTTGGAACTCCTCTTACAGTCTCTTTTCCCTCAGGAAGCCAAGGAATAAAACAAGGATGATATGTCCGTCTATACCTAGTAGATGTTCACAGCCTGCTGCATCCCTGACTTACTTTTTACAGTTCCTACCAAGTGAAGTTCTTCTACTCCCTTGTGCAGAGTCCTAAACTCTGAGTTGGCCCTTTCTGGAGAAACGGAGTCCACATTTAGGCAACTTGAATATCTCAGCCTGAGAAATAGAGGATTCATGAATGAGCAAATGAGGTTACTTAGGATTAAAAAAAATCCCAGTGATCCTAAGAATAAGAAAGACACATTTTGTTTCTAAGCATAAAGGCCAGAAGAATGTCAACATTGTATGCCTCTGCCTTGAATTTTATTGTATTCAGGCGTTTCACATACATTAGGGCTTCCCCACCCCCATTCTTCTAATGTAAGAATCCTTGGTCAGCTTTTATCATAAACAATACTCTTTAAAGCTCTGTGTTTGCCTAATGCAATCGGCCAAGTTATTGGAGCATACATTCTCTTGCCAGTTTTATCACAAATTATTCACTGCAGTGGATAAGACCAAACTCTGGCACCAAGCCCCAGTCAAGGATCAAAACAACAGTTCCTTTTTTGTGTATGGTACCTGCCTTTGCCCTCAGCCTAAATAGCAGGAAATATTAGTGCAGTTAGCAGTTCCAGAAGGTGCTACATTAAGCATGCTTATTTTCATGTACCTGTTGTTTCTTTAAAGCACCATTTTTATATGTCCTGAAGAGCAATAACATGTAGCATTTTATTTAATAAGAAAGTCAGTAGAAATATTTGCTAAGTGAGCAGAAAAAAAACTATAAAAATGGAGTTCAGGACCTAAGACTTCCAATTACTGTGAGATTCTGGGAAAATTATTGTACTAACTTCTCTTGGTTTCCACTTTGTTTCCTGAAGAATGGGGATTATAACAGTTCACTGGTTGCCTGTTGGGCCCTGTATTAGTTATCTATTGCTGTGTAACAAATTGCCCTAACACTTAGTGGATTAAAATAACAAATATTTATTATCTCATATGGTTTCTGAGGGTTAAGAATTCAGGAGTGGTTTAGCTAGGAGATTCTGACACAGGGTCTCCTATGAGGGAACAAATCACAATGTCACTAGGGCTGTAGTCGTTGCAAGGCTTGACTGAGCTGGAGGATCTTCTTTCCAAGCTCACTGGTGTGGCTATTGGCAAGAGGCCTCAGTTTTTCACCGCATGGACCTTTGGGCCTTTCCCTAAACACTGCACTCAATGTAGCAGCTCAACACGTTATGCAAGTAGTTTGAGAGTGACCAAGCCTGGACCCAGATAGAAGCCTGGCACCATATGGGAGGGGACTACGCTTGGATGTGCATACCACAAGGAGGGACCCCTGGGGGCCATGCTGAGGGCTGCCTGCGGCCACAGGCTGCAACTGGGTAGCAGACTAGGAAGAGCTTTCTAGGTAGCAAAACACCCTAATTCTAAATCACACTCACTGACTTCATTTTCTCCTGGCATCATCACAGCTAGCTCTTGACAGAAATGTGCAGAGAACATCATTAGTTCTCTGACCTCTTACTCCTCTCTGCTTCCCCTCCTCCACCCTCCCAAGGTAGTTCTATTACAGTTTTTTTTTGTTAAGTCAACAGTGCTTACATTATTATACCCATGCAAATATTTATAGTTGAGCACTGTTGTTTCTTATGACAATTTTCCTTTCCTACTTTTGAATAATTGCCCCATTTCCCACTACTTGATTTGCTTTGTAGTTGTTATTGATTCTGTCCATACCTTCCCCTAGCCTCTCACATAGTTTTCCACAAGGTCAGTCATAGCAGGTAATCTACCATTTTAGGCTCTTTCTTGGAGGCCTTTTCTTTTTGGGTTGACTTTCCCATTTTCTTTTTCTCACATCTTTTCCTTTCTCGCTCTACTCCCATGTTTTGTTGGAGAGTATCTTCCAGTGTTTCCAATAGGTTGCAGAAGTGGCATGACAACAGCGGTCTCCAACCTGATCCTCTGGACTCCCACTGCTCCAATCTGGAATGGTTGCTTCCCTGCCTGGGGCCTTGGGATCTTCCTTCACTTCTCTTCCATGTTGGAGCTGCAGTTTCTCGTGTCCTCTTTTCCCCTTTCAGGCTTCATTCCTCATGTTGTGAGTGTGCAGGAATCCCTCCTGTTTTCACTTTTGCTGCTCCCCTTGGCTCTGATCCTCTGCCTCTAACTTTCTGAGCGCCCCTTTGTCTTACCTCTTACCTCTTAGTATTCTTTCTCCCCACCCTGCTTGGAGCCAGTGCCCCCATGGTGTCCTACGGCAGTCCTGCCCTCTGAGAAGTTGTACATGTTTCTCTACCCTTACTAGAACTCTCTCTGAAAACATACAAGGGAACGGCTGTATCTTAGACAGCCCTGGCCTAGAGATCTGGCAGAACTGGCATCTGTGATTCTAGCATGGGTTATTGGTAAGAGCATAAGCAAAAGTTCAGTCATGATTCAAACCTGGCAAAGCCTCTTCAGCCAAGGTGGTGAGGGCCCAGCAAGACTTGATGAGAGCATTGGGCAGGATAAGGAATCTGTCCTTCCTGGTCATTGTCCACAGGGATTTCAGTTGGACCAGTGAGGCAAGACTGCAATTTGAGAGCAGACAATTGTAGCAGATAGCAGACAACAGTTATTGAACTCTTCTTTACTCATACCATGTTCCAGGTACTATGCATACACTTTTTATATGTATTATTTTATTTAATATGCAATAAGCCTAGGTGGAGAGATCTATTATTATTCCCATTTTGAAGATGAGGAAGCTGAGGCCCAAAAAGTTTAGATAGGACTTGCCCAAAATCACAGAGTTAGTAAGTGGTGGATCTAGGCTTTGAACTTAGATGTGTCACTCAAGAGCCCTCACTGTTGCTATGCCGACTACCCTCAGTATAACCGTATGTGGACTTGAATGAGACCTAAGTGCAGTAGGAGGCAGAGGAGAACTGTGTGGATCTTTGAGGGCTGGATCTTCACAGAAGGCTGCCTCACTTGAGCAAGGTCCTTGTCACTCTTCTGTCATGAAAATAGGGAAGGAACACATAGGCCGAGGAGAGGGAAGGAGACTGTTGAGATAGAGAGGTGTTTGCATTGGGGCAGGTATAGAGATGGGATAAAAGACTCGTGAACTGGAAAAAAAGTGAAAGGTAAGATGGACTATATCCCAATGGCATTGGATGTCAGAATGAGGGACTGGCAATGTATCAGATGGGCAAGCAAATCAGTACATTTTGGAGATGAGAAGTGAGATTGGAAGTGGGATTTTATAAAGTTCAGAATGAGAGTATTATATAGCTGGGTTGAGAAAGAAATTGGAAGTTACTCTGTACTTATTTATTGTCCTTATTTATTCTGGGTAAGCAATTTGCAATGTCTCTGCTAATGTGACATTTATTTCAATAAATTCCCCTAAATTCTTACTTTTATCAGAAAGCAGAATGTCTGGTCTGCTGATGAGGACTTATTTTGATCTGTTATTATGGTTTTAACTGCATATATATTTCAGCAGTTCTTTGCTAAAAATACTTTCAGGTTTGTACTTATGATGCTAGAGTGGATTGATTTTCTTATCAACCTATATTTAACAGCTAAATTCAGTAGAATAATTTTAGCAATGATTAGCCTAGACTATAAATCAGGGCAGTCTATTTATAATTCTTGGATTATAATTTAGAAGATAATCACAATCCTTGTATTTCATAGTCCTTATTATAGACTGGGATTCTTTGTTTATTAATCTCCACAGTAGACACAAGATTATGAGAGAAGGAAGCTACCTTGGAATGGCTTGGCCAAGGTCACTTATGTATATGCATGTCGTGGGGCCAGGATAGGTAGCTAGGTCTGTCTGATCCTATTCTACCAGGCTACACTGCTGAAACACTTGATTAAAAATATCTAAATGGAGAGCATGTTTTTTGGATACGTGCAAATGGATTTGAGCTGAGTAACTAAATCAGATACCTTGAAATTCCTTTTTGGTCCTGCTGTCATCTGTGACAGGCAATGCTGATTGCCCAACCGACAGTCACACTCTTCCTTGTTACTAGGACCTTGATTTTTTTTCACTATCCAGTTCCCAGGGGTTGCTTGATTAAGCTTCTAATAGACTCTCCACCTGCTTGCCAGTGATTGATTGAAAGGTGGGCATGTGACTCAATCTGGCCAATGAGCAGAAGTCTGCTCTGGGGTGAGGCTCTGGAAAAAGTTTTCCTTGCTCATCAAAAGAGTTGCACAACAGGAAACTATCCTGTTTTCCTATTTTTGGAGGTTTTCTGCATGTCACCACTTCACCTCTGCAACTAGGGTGGCCCCCTTGAGACCATAAGGGGAACTGGCTTAAGAGGACAAGTCAGTAAGATGATGGAAATTAGTAAAAGGGGGAAGATCTAGTTTCTTGATGACTTCGTAGAGATGCTGAATTAACCAACTTTGGAACCCAATTTTGAAACTTCTTGATGTGTGAGAGAACTCATTTTTCTTATTGTTGAAGTCCTTCCTGGTTAGGTTTTTGTTGGTGCAACCAAAAGCTTCCTATATGATGATAAAGCCTCCTATCTCCCCACCTCAGGTTTTGTCTGGCATTGAACTTAGCTGAATTTATACAACCACAGCTAGGTTTTTACGTATAGAAGCTGAAGCTCTTTTGGTATGCACATCTGAATCTTCTTTTTATGGATTTTCTGTTCAGCTATACTCTATTTTCACATACTTTAATATAGTAAAATTGTGATTATTTTTACTGGCCAGTTTATTTGGGTTGGCATCTGCTTGCTGTATAAATAATCCCTTAGTTTTGCAGTCCAGGAGGAATAGGAATGAGCTGTGCTGAGTTTCTCCCCATAATGATTTTGGGATAGTAGACTCTGCTCTCCCTTTACAGCTGCTGGGGAACCATGGTGCTCGCTCCAGCGGGATTGGGGGCAGCTCCTCCCCTGGGGCCACAACCTGTGTTCTGAGACTGTGCTGGCTTTGCCAGTCCTGTGCCAGCTGCCTGTGTCTGCTTTGCAGTTCTTTTTTCATCTATTGTTTCGACTGTGCTCCTTTCAGTGGGGCTGTACTAAAGACCCATCCAATTTTAGCCATTTCACCAGTGAGGTCCCTCTTTGCTCCTCTTCATCCCCCAACTTGGCTGTTCCTTCTCCATCTTTTCTCTCTCTTTCAGTCTCAAAGGAAAAGGTGCCTCCTTTTCTCCAAAGTTCCCTGTACACTATCACATCATTCCTCTCTCTTCTCCCTGCTCTACGGTGTGACCCTTTATATTAACATGTCTTTTGCAAAGACTTCATCCTTTCTGCCTAGACATGAGCACTGATTTCTATTGTCCTGGGGCAAAAGACAAGCTGCCTGTACTGTCTCCTTAATGTACCATCTTATGGTCCCTTTTTCCTTTACTAAATATTTCTCAGTTTTGCATTCCAGGAGGAATAGGAGACAGCTGTGCTGAGCTTCTGCCTGTAGCAATCTTGGAATAGTGAGTACATCTCCAGATGTCTAGAATGGAAAGGCCATGCCTTTGGCTCTCATCTTCCTTGTACCTTGAGCCCTACCGTCCTACATTCTGTTCCCTGCTCCCACAAATTACCAAAAGTGAATTAGCAAAGGCAGCCAGGCCCTCTTAATTGCAAGTGTGTGCCTTTCCTCTGCTCTGCTTTCCCCTGACCGCTTTGCAGCCCTTGGAACTGCCTTCCATCCTCTTAAACTCTTCCCTCCAACAGGTCAGTCTTCTGACCCTTCCCCTTCCCTCTTTTTCCGGTGAGAGCTCAGTAGTGTACTGAAAACCTGTCAGCTGAGGTTCAAATGAGCTTCTGGCCAGTAAGAGTCTTGTTACCTTTGTACTGAAGATACTTCACAGTTTTGCACTAATAGCTCACCAGATGTCTCCTGAATGGATTCAGATCTGTCCTTTGCTCTGACCTCTTTCCAAGTTCCAGTCCTGTTTCTGTGCTTAGTGGGCATTTCTAAGTGGGTGTCCAGACATCGCTTCTAATTCCTTCTGTCCAAAGCAGAAGTTACCTTTCCTTCCATGCTGACTCTCCACTCTTTTTCCTTCTTTATTTCAGCCTGTAGTAGCATCATTCACTATTCTCCCTGGGGTCCATGAGAACCCCAATATTCTCAGCCCTTCTTCTTTCTTCTTCTCTTATGTGCTGCCAACCACCAAGCCTTGTATAGTCTTTCTAGTTAATGCCCACCCATTCATCACTCCTTTTTCTTTCTTATCTTTAGCTTTTGTCACTTCTCGCTTGAACTGACAAGAGCTTCCCACTACTCTATGCAATTATCAGACATCGATTTTAAAACCAAACTTAACACTCCACATGGTGCTCCTGTGCTAAGATACCCTTCGTAATGTGGATGTGGTATCCACTGTTCTTTTGGCTCGTAGAGAAATAGCTACGAGCTATTTTCCCCAGTACCTCTGTGGTTAGGAGACAGCATTTCTCTTCTGGCCATCTTCCACCCCAAGGTGTTAGGACTGTTAGGTGGTGGATTTTATGTAGATGGTGGGCCCACTGGGGTGCAGAGGACCTGGCAGTGTCCCCAGGTTGGTGGCACTGAGCATGACTCAGCTTGCTCCCAGCTCTCTAGTCATTGATGTGCAAAGACTCCACTAATTCCCCCCTCCAGTAGAAGTGAATTTTCATTTCCTTCTCAAGCATCTCAGTTGCCCCACTCTCCTCCCTTTTTCCTACTGAGTCTAACCTTGTTTTGGGTAGTGGAAAAAATCCCTAGGCAAGCAAGCACCCCAATCCTCTGTCTTTTGGCTTGAGGTTTGCTCCCCAAGAAAATGACCCTGGCAACCATGGGAGTGGCTAGACGAGGCAAAAAGACCCTCAGGACACCTGTGAGAGAGGAGGGGAGAGGAGAATATGTTGAAACACAGGGACAGTTACATAGTGAAATAGTCTTGCCACTCTTACATGACTCCTTCTGTCTTTAATGTCATTTTCAAATGTGTATTTGAGCTTCAGATTCCTCAGCTATAACACGGAAATAATAATGCCTTCCCTACAGGTTGACACGAGAATAAAAACTAAAGTACCATCTAAGCAACAGACCCAGCTTGGAACAAAGTAGGAACAGAATAAAGTGTTATTATTTCCTCATTATTCCTTTTCCTTACTATGGCCCCAAATAGCCTTTTGACTCTCACCCCTAAGTTACACATATTACATCTGCTCAATTTCATTGTCTAGACCTGAATTACATGACCTGCCTGGCTTTGTTTTGGGTAGACATGTGCTGTTCCAAGTGTGCTGTGACTGTGGAAGAAGAGAAGAGAGGATGCTGGGGAACAACTAGCAAGCAGTCTCTTTGCCGCATCATCCTGATGACTTTCTTCTCCTTTCCTTGGACACAGAACTTTAACTAGGAGTTCATAAGCATACCTTACACTGATCAAGACGTGCACTGTCTTGTTTCTTGTTTCTTGCTGGCAAAGCTCACCTTTTACTCTAGAGGCTATAAATGGCAAGTGCATACATTCATAGGCTCCTTTAAAAATATGAGTGAGCATGACACACATGTCCACACAGTTGTGGACACTGAGACAATGAGACATCACATAAGCTTTAGGAATAGTTTTCTTCCCTCATGGAAAAGAGAAACTGTACCGCTCACCTCTGGTACATCACTTCACAATCCTCTTGGCCCCTGTGGTGGGGCGACCGGTGCCTGTCTGCACCAGTGTAGTCTGATAGGGCCCACCTGGGCCCAGGGAGTGTATTTCTCACTTCCTGTCCTAAGGCTTCTCTGGCGCTGCAGCCCTACACGTCCACCGGGACCCTATTCTCTGCCATTATTCAAGCATAACCTGGTGGTGTGGGTGAACTTAGTGCCTCGGAGGCAAACCTTGACTACTGCAAGGTCTGTAGTGATCAATTCTTTCCCTTTTTATCTCCTACCTAAGTGGAAAATTATGAGATGCCTCTCATAAGGCTCCACAGAAAGTCCCAGTAGGTTTGAATATCAGTATCTCTGTTATTGGCTTTCCTTCCATCCTTGCTTCATTGCCTGTATCCTAAACTATTCTTTTTATTTTTATTTTGGAAAAAGGGTCTCAATTTGTCCCCCAGGCTAGACTGCCATGGTGTTAGCCTCGCTCACAGCAACCTCAAACTCCTTGGCTCAAGTGATCCTCCTGCCTCAGCCTCCCAAGTAGCTGGGACTACAGGTGTGTACCACCACACCTGACTAATTTTTCTATCTTTTTGTAGGGACAGAGCCTTGCTGTGTTGCTCAGGCTGGTCTTGAACTCCTAGCCTCAAGTGATCCTCATACTGCAGGCTTCTAAAGTGCTAGGATGACAGGCATGAACCACTGTGCCCAGCCCTGAACTATCTGTATACAAGTCTTTGTCTTAGGCTCTGCATTCAGAAACTCCCAGACTGACAGCATCTTTGAAGAGAAATACCTTCCCTCCCTATTTCCCTTGTTCCTTTCCTCTCCTCCCCTCTCCTTCTCTTATTCTTGTCCTGTGGGGATGAGGTTTGTGGAGCAACAGCAGTGAATTTGTAATTATGAAGAGAAAATCTAGAGAATCACTGAGAAGCTGATCCAGAGTCCTTCAGTGAGCCACTGAACCAACCCTGTAACCATCTACAGCAGGCATCTCTGTTGTGTGAAAAAAACAAATTACAATTGTTCAAATCACTTTTAGTTAAATATTATGGAACTTGGAGTTGAAAGAATTTTAACAACACACAGTCTGCATCTGATTGTAGATGAATATATAATATTACCACATATATTTATTCACTTCTGTTTTTCAAATGCATGTTAGTGAACTACAAATTCATTTAAAAGGATGTGATAGGCATTATTGTTTGCTTACCCAATGTGTATTCCTTCCTTCTTCATAACAGCACCTCAGTTTTCCCCCAGACATATACCCCTTTTCCTTATAGCTGAGAGCCTGGCGGAAGCTGACCCCACTCCCAAATCCAGGAGTAAACCTGATCTATGTCAGTCTAATCCTAATCTCTGCTCATGATTAGTCTAGGAATGGGGACGTGAACGTATTTAGGCCAGTGAAACTTGAGGGAAAGGTTTCCAGGGGGCTTCTGGGATAATTTCCTTTCTCTAAGAGAGAACTATGGGAAGAGATAGACTTTCTCACCTTCCCGATGTGTCTGGACATGGCAGCTCGGTGCCACAGCTGCTGTTCTGCCAGTCTGAGGGTGCAGAGTGGCACCAGGGAAGACCCTGGCTCATGATGACCACACCGATCTGGTGAATCAGCTCTCTGTGAAGTCCTTCCTTGGGACTTTCTGTTGTATGAGACAAAAAAGAAATACTTGTTGTTAAAGCCAGGTGTGTCTGGATTTCTGTGTCTTGCCATTGAAAGTATCCTAACTATTTCAAATGATTACTGAATTTAGCATAGTTTTCTGTGCAAGATCTTCTCAGATAAAGGGTACTCAGAGCAAATCCCAAATCATGCTGAGGTTCATGAAATATTTAGATGTTAGAAAGGGGTTTGCATCCTCCAAAAGGTTGGGAACTGTTGTTCTAGAATATCTTTCAAGAGTATTGCCCCTTCCTCTTTTGGTTTGTATTTTCCTCTTCTCCCTTTCTGCTCCTCCAAAGGCTTGGAGACTATTCAAGGTGAATAAACCAGGAATGAGCAAGGGCACTGTCAAGGTCCCTCTGCCAATAGGAAGGAGATGGCTTTACTAGAGCAGGGCAGAATGGATGCTGCTTATAGCAGAGCTTGGCTCTTCATGGCCACTCAGTAAATTGCTGTGGAATTTCATGGACTCTTATAAGAAGGATGAGAGGGAGCCTTTGTAATTGCTTCATGCAGAATTAGTCCCAAAGGTGAGGAGTGACCTGTTCAAGGTGGAGACTTCAAGTCAATTAGATCCAATTCAATGATTTTGTTCAAAGCAGCTAAGATGTGCAAAGCATCGTGGTTGGTGCTGCGTGGACTGCCACCATATGTAGTTCACATCCCTTTGGTAAAGTTTACATCAAAGTCTAAGAGTAGTTATGCCATGTAAAAGTAACTGTAAAAGATGCCACATAATGCTACATGCTGCCTGCTAGTCTTGTTGATGAGTGAAATGGCAGCATCTGAAAAACAAAAAAAATAGTAGTCCCTTGGACTATGTTAAGACTGTACAACTCTACTGTAGGAAATTTTGCTTTGTTGTCACCATGTGGATTGACCAATAAAAATAAGAACATTTCCAGATTGGGTGAAAATGAAATAAATGGCAGATCTAGTCCTCAGTCTGGGTTTCCCAAAATGTGCAGATGCCTGCTCTACTATATTAATTGTTATAAGAGTCTTTAAATCTGATTTTTTAAAAAAAATTCCAAGTTAAAAATATGTATAAGGTTTCTTCATTGCAGGTTTTCCATGGCCTTTAATGTGCCAATGGACATTGTGACTCTTTAAGAAAAGAATGCTATATGAATCTTTCCCCAAATTTATTTGGTGAAGGAATTCTTTCTTCAGTGGTCTGATCTAGTGGAATATGCTTTGAGGAGCACTGCCCCAATTAATGAAATATAATGATGGGATCCAATAAAAATGAAGTACCTACAACTGGAAATGGATTCTCTACTGAGAATGTAAAATTATCAGTAGAATTATGATCAACCTGCTCTGTCCCCCCACATTTCTGATGCTGTGCCCTATTTAAAACTAATATCTCTCTTTTGGGAATAACAGCTAACAGTGGGATCAGTTCACTCAGGGAGTAACATTTCAGTCAACATTCCCTTTGAGTATGGCCAGTGTGCTTTCTCCAAGCATCCTATAATTGGAAACCTATTTGTCGTTTCCCTAGCATAGTATCTGACAGCCAGGAGGAACGAATGCTTCTGCTAAGAAGGTTCAGGCTCTTCTCTTTTGATAATTTTCTTCTGCCCATTGGGGGTTAAAGAAAACCTTCCTTCTAGATTCCCAGAGATTCTTATGCTTCAAAACATAGAAAGACTTTGGGTGTTCTGTGGATAGCATTGAAAACTTTACTTATGTGAATGAGAAGCACAGTGAAGGATGTAGATACCAAAACCACACCAACAGGCCTTTGGGCTAAACAGACCATAAACAGACCTTTCCAACTCACAAAAGCAGCTAGAATTACTGATGCTAGGAAGGCTGAAATCTGTGCAGGTACTTACAGCCAACATGACTGGCTTCCCCATGTTTCATGTGTGAGTAGAGTGCATTGCCTGGGTAGTGAGGCAAAGCTATCCTGCAATAAGTCACTGTAGGTAGACACAGCAGATCCATTCACTAGAAGTCAACCTCTAGGATGGTACACCATGAAGATGAAAAGGGGCTGATGTGCCAGCTGACGGGTGATGTTCACACTGGTGTAACACTGGAAGAAGAGTAGCAAGTATTCATGTTACCTAGAGCAATAGTTCCCAAACACAAGGCATTTTTTCTCCTGTAGGGAAAGGAGAGAATTAAGAAAAAAAAAAGGATTATGTGGTGAGTTTTTCATGTTTAAAATTTAAAGTATGAATCATTAGAGAAATGCAAATTAAAACTACAATGAGATACCACTTCACATGCATAAGGATGATTACTATCAAAAAGATGAAAATTAACAAATGTTGGAGAGAGTGTGGAGAAAAGGAACCTTTACACACTGTTGGTGAGAATGTAAATTAGTACAGCCATTGTGGAAAATAGAATGGAAATTCCTCAAAATATTAAAAATAGAACTACCATATGATCTAGCAATCCCACTTATGGGTATATGGCCAAGGGAGATGAAATCAGTATGTCAAAGAGATACTGCACTCTCATTTCTACTGTAGCACTATTCACAGTAGCCAAGATATGGAATCAACCTAGGTGTCTATCAACTGATGAATCGATAGAGCAAATGTGGTACATATACTCCATGAAATACTATTTGGCCTTAAAAAAGAAGATAGCTCTATCACTTGCAACAAGATGGATGAAGCTGGAGGACATTATGCTAAGTGAAATGAGCCAGACACAGAAAGATAAATACTGCATGACCTCACTTATATGTGAAATCTAAAAAAAGTTGAACTCATAGAAGTAGAGAGTAGAATAGTGGTTACAAGGGGCTGTGTGGGCAGGGGAAAGAGGTTGGTCAAAGGATACAAAATTTTAGTTAGGAGGAATAAGTTCAAGAGATCTATTGTACAAAACAATAATTATAGTTAAGAATTGATTACATTCTTGAAAATCACTGAGAGTAAATTTTACATGTTTTCATCACAAACACAAAAAATAAGTATGTGAGGTAATGCACGTACTAATTAGCTCCATTTAGCCATTCCAAAATGTGTACATATTTTGAAACAGCATGTTGTAAACATTAGATATATATTATTTTCTGTCAATTCAAAAATAAAAATAAAATGTAAAGTATGAGATTTATGTTTTTCCCAATCTTTA